GCGGAGCTTGCAGTGAGCTGAGATCCGGAGGCTGAGGCAGGAGAATGGCGTAAACCCGGGAGGCGGAGCTTGCAGTGAGCTGAGATCCGGCCACTGCACTCCAGCCCGGGCTACAGAGCAAGACTCCGTCTCAAAAAAAAAAAAAAAAAAAAATTGGTGCTTACTTCTGACTGATAATGGCAGAGGAGTATGATGCCTCACTTGTTCTAATAATTTTTTCTTGGCCAGGCGCGGTGGCTCACGCCTGTAATTCCAACACTGTGGGAGGCCGAGGTGGGTGGATCACCTGAGGTCAGGAGTTCGAGACCAGCCTGGGAAATATGGTGAAACCCCCTCTCTCTTAAAAATACAAAAAATTAGCTGGGCGTGGTGGTGTAGTCCCAGCTATTTGGGAGGCTGAGGCAGGAGAATCGCTTGAACCTGGGAAGCAGAGGTTGCAGTGAGCCGAGATCATACCACTGCCCTCCAGCCTGGGCAACAGAGAGAGACTCTGTCTCAAATAATAATAACGATAATATTTCTTTTTTTCAAATTCTTTATAATCCATATTGAGTTAAATGTAATTTACCATAGATATTGTTATTAATATATGTGATTTTAGAGGTTTCCCTCCTGATGAAATTATGAGGTTGGTTAAGTTGACATTCTATTTTTATTTTATCTTTACAAGATATAAAGAACTACAAATAGGGCTTAAAAAAAAAAGACTCATGGCCTAAATAGAATAAAGTAACTAAAAATGGAATACAGTTTAAAAGGTTGTTTTGCTTACTGCCATGAATATTAGTATCCCAAACAATTCTACAAAGATTAGAACTCTGATATAATCTAATCTCTATTATTCTCCTTCATATTATTATTTTAATTTTTTTGTTGTTGTTGCCTCAAAAAGTATCTTTAAGCCAGATGTAGTGACTCAAGACTGTAATCTCAGCTACTTGGGAGGCTGAGGCAGGAGGATTCCTTGAGCTCAGGAGTTCTAGGCTTCAGTGAGCTATGATAGTGCCACTATACTTTAGTCTGGCAGTGACAGACTGAGACCCTGTCTCTAAAAAATTTTAAAATTTTTTCAAGTCTTTAAAAAGTATCTTTTAAAAGTATCTAGCTGACATATTTTTCAAAATTTGTATTAGCTATGTGTTTCCTTGTAAATCTGAACACTTAAAAGCTCTCAATAATTATTTCCATACATAAAAGGGACAATGTTTACAATCATAAATGATTACAGCATTTTACTCTTGCAATAATAAATGTACATTTATACATCGATAGAATTTCAACACAGAGAGCACAAAAGAAGATATTCATTACAGTTTACACATAGAAGGTCATCCATATTTGAAAGTGTTTATTACAGTACATCCAAATGATATGCCAGTATAACAGGTTGTTACGCTTATTGCATGCAAAGTCCGTGTAACACAGCCACGGGAGAGCGGATCATGCTCCAGTCTAGGAAACCCAGAAATGATGCTCAAGTCTGAACTTGTCAATTCAGCCTTTCAGGGGCCAAAGTTGAAGATGGAGCTCTAAAGCAAAATTTGATACTAAGATCAAAGGCAAATTTTGGTGCACCCCTATTAAATTGTGTCACTTCTGTAAGAGGGACATACTCGCTGTCCATTAAAAATTATGTTGGGGAAATGTATTTATCAACATGGAAAGATTGTCTTGTTAATGCTGAATTTTAAAAGCTGGTTATAAAAGATAATGAAGATGTGAGCCCAGATTTGTAATCAAGGGGAAGCAAATCTGAGTAGATGAAAGATTGCGAGACACATACAAGATGTTCACGATAATTAGCTCAGGGCTTAAGATGAAAGGTTTTGTTTTGCTTTTAATTTAAAAAAAAATTATATTTTCTTACAAAACATATTACTCATATGGTTTTTAAGAGTAAAAAATATTTAAAGTGCATCTTTTCTGTCACCCCTTCTCTTTCATCTGGAGCCAGATTTTGAGCTTATGGAAGCAGCCAGATGGCCTGCGACACTGACCATAGCCACCTCCAGGCCTCACTGTCCATGTTCATCTGAGGGCCAAGGCTTTGGCAGGCTGCAGCTGCCTTTCCTGCACCTGTTCTGCGAGGAGAAGGAGACGTGCCAAGAGGAAGGCAGAGATCAGGTGGAGGGCAGAAAAGGGCAATGGGCAATAGCCCCACTTGACCAATGACAAACTGGAATCTCAGAGGCTAGAAGTCCCAGAAAAATCCATCTTCAGTCCTGAGGCCCAGGGAATGGCTAAACTGCAGGTCTAAACTTTTTCACAGTAGAAGAAAAAGCTACAAGTCATTCTCCAAATCCATTTCCCTCTTCTTCTTTCTCAATACAACTCACAAATCTTAGCTGGTTACATACTGACTAGTAGCTAGGTATGGCCATGTGACCAAGTTCTGGCCAATGAGAGAGGTAAGTGCATGTAAAGTGTGCGACTTCCAGGAAATTCAGGAGAAACCTGAATCTACTCTGCAGAAAGAGCAAATCTGAGACTCAGAGAAGCTAAGGAACTTGCTCAAGGTCACATAGCCAGTGAATGGCAAAGCTGGGATACAAGCTCAGGTCAACAGACACCAAAAACTTGTGATTTTTTTTTTTGGTCACACCACACTGCCTCTCCTGGGTCCTGGGCCATCTCTGCTGGGGTAGGGGGAGGGAGAAAGAGGGGAGGGGGTCAGGAGTGTGAGGTTTGTGCTGCCTGCTGCTCTGTGACAGTAACAACCTATCTAAGAGGCCTCCAAACAGCCAAGGGCACTGCGGGGACCTCACTCCCTTGGTCTCACTCCCCTCCTCCTGTAATTGAGATGTCAACTTTCTGCCTCATTCCTTCCCACCCTGGACACCTGGCATTGCAGGGCTCTCAATGGAGACAGCTGATTTCACCCTGCTTCTCCTGAGTCACCTCCATCATGAAGACATGAATTTGGTGTGTCAGACAGATAAGTGAGCACTCTCTCACTACCCCCCTTTCTTCTCCTTCCTCTCTCCTTTTCTGTCTTCTCCTCTCTGCCCTCTCCCTCCCTCCTCTTCTCCCTCCCTATACCCCCGCTTTCTCCTCCCTCTGCCTCCTGCGCACTCTGAGATGAAAGGGCCAGTTAATCTTGCTGCCATAGCTTCCATGGGGCTGCATACTCACTTGCTTGTCCATAGGCACAGGCGTCCCTACCAGGACTGCCTAAGCGGTCCCTGGAAACCATGGCTAATTGGTGAAAGAGCCCATTCGTTCATTCTTCCACAGCCTGGATACTGCAAAAGAGGTTCTCTCAAGCTAAGCCAAGATTTCCACCCTGATGCACCAATCACCCGGGACACCACTGGGTTTACTTGTCACCCAGACCTGTAGTTTCTACCTTGACATGTGAGCTTGAAGGCTGAGCATCCCTGCCCCTAATCACACACACCCCCTCCAGCACAACAAACAGCAGAGTGCCTGAGAGCATTTGATTAATGTGCTGCAGGCTTACAAGTTTATGAATATTATATTTATTCATTGAACCAATGTTTACTGAGCACCTACTATGTGCCAGACTCTGTTATAGGCACTGAGGATACAGCAGTGAATAAATCAGTTCAAATCCTGCTCTCTTGGAGTTGAGAATTCAGTGGGGAGAGACAGACAGTAAACAGGCAAATATATACCTGTCAAGTGGTGATAAATGTTGTTGAAGACAAAGCAGAGTAGACGGGACGCAGAGTGCAGAGCACAGCAGTTTTAGGTAAAGGGAGATCCTTCAGGTCTGTTACTCTGGAGAAGTATGTTACATACCTGCTTCCTTTATGCAACTGACATGTTCCAGAAAAGTTAGATATCAATGAGATTTGTTTTGCATATTAAGTCATATTTCAAATCAAACATAGTCAAGCCTTGCAAATTAACATGCAGCAAATCTCTGAACCTCAGTTTCCCCATAAGGAAAATGGGTTTGATAATTCTCACCCCAGCTAGTTTATGCTATTGAGAGAGATTCATGGGGTGAAATTTTAATTTTGTGGATGTACTTTGTAGCCTGCAAAGCACTTTATTACATCAAACTAATGTTATCGTTGTTAAAATGAAGACATAGTTAGCAAAATAAATTACTACCTCCAAATAGAAATTCTGTGATAATCCAATTTTCATGTATTTAGTTGGCTAAAATGAAGATTACACTTGCATGTTTTCCAAATCTGGGCAGGCAGGGATGGCATCTTTGTAAGCCTTCTGAGGCTTGGGAAGCACTCTGAGTTTATCCCTGGCTATGACCTGCTGTCAGCACTAAAGAGCATCCTGACCCAAGCCTATCTTCACCTTGATCTATCTGAAATAAGAGCATGAGAATGAAGAAAACCCCCACCAGCCTTCTTAGGTGCAGCTCCTTGCATCTTGGAATAGTCTCCATCCAAAACATTTGGGGCATTATAGGCCTGACAGACATGGAGGCGGGGTTACTCACTCAAGGCAGAAGCTGCTTGCTACATGGATTTCTCTCCTTGTAATACAACACTCTGAGGCAAAGTGGAATAATTTCCACTTGAAAGGGAATTCATTTTATTCAAATAACACCACCAAATAGCAAGATTGAGGGTGCATATCTCCAGGAAAGGGCTGGACAGCAATTAGATGCTTATCTGTGCCCCTGCCCCCATCGTACTGCCTGAAGGTACAGTCATGGCTTAACTATAGGAATCTACAACAAGAACAATGGAGAGTGTGGTTTATAAATTATTTCTGTCATTGTTTATGGAGGATGAGATTAGACTCAGGGTGGGTGGTGGCAGGTTGCAAGATCAATGGCAAATGTGTCCTCACCAGACATTTCTTTTTGAGATAGAGTCTTGCTCTGTCACCCAAGCTGGAGTGCAATGGCGTGGTCTTGGCTCGCAGCAACCTCTGCCTCCTGGGTTCAAGAGATTCTCCTGCCTCAGCCTCTTGAGTAGCTGGGACTACAGGCACCGGCCACCATGCCTGGCTAATTTTTATATTTTTAGTAGGGACGGGGTTTCCCCATATTGGCTAGGCTGGTCTCAAACTCCTGACCTCAGGTGATCCGCCTGCCTCAGCCTCCCGGAGTGTTGGGATTACAGGTGTGAGCTACTGCATCTGGTCCTCACCAGACATTTCAAAGATCTCAGAATGTAGCTCTTCCTTTCAGAGACAGACCAGTAGCAACTCATCGATCAAGAGACTTTTACTCAGTGTCGACTCTGGGCAAATCATCCTATTAGGAAATATGGAAGAAACCCCAAAACATTTCCAACATAAGCAAGGAGCTCTCATTTTAGTTGGAAAGAGAACAGAGTTCTGTGGATGAAAAGAGGAGCCCTAAAGAGGATGTGGGAGACGCTAAGGCACTTAAATTACATGATCCCATTTGATCATCATCACCACAAAGTAACAGCAGCATTCTTATTCCCATTATATGGAGGAGAATACTGAGAGCTGAGAGGTTAAATGACTTGCTCATGGTCACACAGCTGGTAAATGGCAATAAAATGCTCATTCTTAGTCTGCTTGACTCTCATGGGGCCAGAATCCAAGTGAAGTTTTCATATTGATTTTGCCTCCCTATTGATTTTGTCAGGGATAAGCATATGTTTTAGAAAAATAAAATGACATTTGCCGTGCTTCCCTTCACTCCATTCCTTAAGGGGAGCTGAGGAACCACTAGCTTTAGATCTGAAGCTTTAATGTCCTCTTCTGCTGATAAATGATATTTCTAAATAAATAATCGTCCTTGTCCGTTTGTGTTTCCACGACCAGATCTCCTTTTCCTGACTGAATACTCCCTTCCCCCACTAACATCTTCCCACGTTCGCTTAGCTTCTTTCTCTCTTTCCTTTTCCTCATACACACAAATTCAGACACACACCTTCCCACCTCACACCCATATGCAAAATAAAATTAGAAATACCACCCGACTCACAAGGTATTTGGGGAATGGAGATCTTCAGTCAGTATAGCCAAACCCAGGCACCCCAGGCTCCCTCCCTGCCAAGCCCATGTGAGAGGCAGACAGTGCTTGTGAAAAGGGGCCCAGACAGCCACAATTATGAGACAAAGCTGCTCTGAAGGAAAAAGGGCCATGTGTGCCTCCCCGTGTCTGTCCTGTGGCCACTGGAACTCACAGGGCTACCAGCTGCTCACGGCCACCATGTGGCATACTGTTCTTTCACTTACATGTCAGATGCTTTTAGAACGCGAAAAGGTTTCCTGGCCTCTTTTTTATTTTGATGTATGCTGATAAATTACAGAGGAGCAGTGTCTGGTTATTCGAGAATAGAGGCTGAGCTGATTAGCATATGGCCCTCATTTCAAGGGATTGCTCTTGTTTTAATCAGCCAGTTGAGAAAGCAATAAATACGTATTTATTTATTAAGTATGCCATCACCCAGAGGAGAGGAACAGGGCAGGTAGGTGAGCTACGACACCCAGGAAGTTGAGGATGGTGATGGCACCAATATTCCTGCAGTGTTTGATGTTTTTAAGGCTCTGCTCCCCCCGCCCCCCACTATTTGATACACACTGGTGTGACTACCCTCTTGGTGCATCACGGTACCCACCTTAGAATAGCGGAGCCTTGGAAGGGGAAGGAAATAGAAATAGGAAGGTGGGGGTAGGGCCCGAAGAAGCAGCTCCAAGTTCAAGCTCTGTGTCTGGATAAACTCCCATTGTCTTTCCTTCTCCCAAATCAGAGCTGCCCATGGGTCCCATGGTGATGCTGGGTTGTGTGGAGGCCGAGGGCAGGAGCATTAACGCTAGAACAAAGTTCAAGTCCAGGCTCTGTCACTTAATGGCTGTATGACCTTAGACATGCGACTTAGCTTCTCTGAGCCTCAACCTCCTCATCCCCAGAATGGGGCTCAGCCAGCTTCGTAGATCAGGCTGAGAGGATTAAGGAAGCGTCTTATGCTAAAGGCTTAGTGCAGTGCCTGCTACCTAGCAGGGGCGCGATAAGTAGTGTCTCTAATTATGATCTAATCAAGCAGTGCTTGCCCTGGGCAGGCCCTGTTTAAGGGTTTTACATAGATTTTCATTTAACCCTCACATCTCTGTTTTACAGATGAGGAAACTGGAATCTAAGATTACACTGGAATTTACAGATGAAGAAACTGGAATCTGAGATCTCACAGTAGTGAATGGTGAATATTCAAACCCAGGTAGACAGGCTCCAGAGTCCCAACTCCCAATCCTCTGTACACAGCCCTTTCGAGGAGATGACGCTGGTCTTCACGGGTGTTGCCCTGGCAAGCCGACCTCTCAAACCCCCAGGGTTCCTTCAGTCCGAGTGGAGAGCAGGGAAGGTCGTGGGACATAGCCGAGAGGGAAAGGCAGGATGATGGCTTGAGAATCCACATCAGAGCTGAATCCCAATCTCCCAGCTGGAACGGGCAGCTGAAACCAGGCAGAGCGCCCCAGCCCGCTCAAGGGGAATCGAGGGGGGAGGAGGGGGCAAGTCCATAATGCTGAGACTGGCGGCCAGAGCACCGCCCCCAGGAGCGGAGGGAGGGGTGGCGGGGCTGGGGGGTGCCCAGTTGCCGTCCCCGCCGCTTCCTTGCCCCTACTCGCTGGCGCCCAAGTGGGAAAACAGCAGCTGCCCGCTCCCTCCTCCCCACATCCCCGCTACCTGCCCAGTTCCCGAAGCGAAGCGCAGGCTGCGAGCCAGCCGGGCCGAGCTCACAACTTTGCAGCCTCGGGCAGGGCGAGAACCGGCGTCCGGGGCTCCTCTTCTCGGCGACCAGAGCTCGGTGAGTTCATTTCCTCACCCCTCTGCGGCGGCGGCAGTGCGGCGGCGGAGGCGCTGGGGGCGGCTTCCCTTGCGTCCGGGAGGCAGTGGCCGAGAAGCCCGCGGCCGCCGGCGCTGCCGGTCTTTCTAAGGCTCTGGCTGTGCAGCCCTCTGCCGCGGGCGGGGCGGGCGCCAGTGCTCAACGGACAGCTCCCTGAGCCCCGGGGCCCCACGGGCGGTCTCTGCTGCCCCTTCTCCCGCGCAGGGCCCGGGCTGAGACTGCCCACCGAGCGCCCCTCACTCCCCTAGCCCCTGTCCTTCGCCGCCTTCCCAGCGCTGCGGCGCATCTGGCTGCTCCCGCGCCCCCCTGGCGACCGGCGCGGGGAAGGCACTTGCTTCGCCGGAGCCCCAGGCCAAGGGCTCTCTGGGGCGGGCAGCGCCGCCGCAGCCCCCGGCGGCGCATGACTGGGGGCGGTGCCCAGCCCCCCGCGACCACCCTCTGGCGTGCACTGCGCTGCGCCCCAGCGGCAGGGAGAGGCCCACGCTCTCCGCGGAGGCTGCGGGTTCCCGGGGGGCGCTGGGACCTGCAAAGGGGATTCCAAGGTGACCAGTCGCCCCGTCCTGACGGGACAGCCTGGACGGAGGCCCCGTGGCATCCGCCCATCCTAGGTGCAACCGCCTTCCCAGAACTTTTCTCGCGCCTCCGGCTGGCCAATTCCTTAGCCCCTGGAAAAGTTCTCTCGGGCGCACGGAATCCTATTTCTCGGTGGCTTCCGAAGCTGGCCAGGAATCCCGGCTGTGAGGCGTGGAGTGGGATGGGGACGCTGCAAGGGCTGCGCACGGCGGCGGGGTCGATCCCAGGAAAGGCCGGCCAAGCATCCACTCGTGCGCCCAGGGCGTGCTTGGCAGCATGGAAAGGATTTCGGCGCCATGAGGGTTGTTTGGGTTTCTCTCACCAGGAGGGCGGGAGGCGGGCGCGAAGAGGGGATTTTAATTTCGCCTCAAATGAAAACGCTCTTTGCAAAGAAACAGCCCGGGCAGCCAGCGTTGGAGAGATGTGCTGGCCAGGACCCGCTGACACAGGTATTCTGGCTGCGTCCCCACCCCACCCGGTGCCCGAGAGCGAGTGTGAGTGTATCGATTGTTTTAATTGATTTTTTTAAGCTAGGTGGCAGAGGCTGCGTGTTTGTACACGCAGATACATACATACACAAATACAGATACTCAAGCGCACACAGATTACACGTACAGAGTCACAGACAAGGACACACACACACATCGTGGTCCCGCACGCACACATACCTCCAAAGAGCCTTGGGTAACCGGTGAGGTCCCTGAGTGCTGCCCAAGATGTGTGTGTGGGTGGGGGCGCAGGGAAGGAGAAAGGGAAGTGTGAAGCAGGATTTCCAGCAGCTCAAATGCCGCTGATACCTCTGCCCCCGACCCCAAATCCTTCCCTTTCTCCTCCTAGGGAGGTCTGAACCAGAAATCCCAAACCTGGGCTTGTTTCCACAGCCACAGAGGGGAGGAGTCCTATCCCCCAGCGCCCCCCACCCTCACAACTTGTATTGCTGTGCCTGACTCTACCGCGCCAAGGCGCCGAGCTCGCTCAAAACCCCAGGCAACACTCACCCCCAGGTAGGGCCTAGACCCGAGGCCGCTGCGGGCTCGGGGTCTCTGGCCTGCCTGGTCCGGGGTTAGGGAACTGGGGAGGGGAAATCGGCGGGACAGGGGTTTGGGGGCGTGGAGTCGCGTGCAGAGCCCCAGAGGCGCGGCACGGAGGAGCGCGCGAGGGCGCCCCCTGGACGCCGCAGTCAGTCAGTCCTCTTCTCACCCCGGGTCCCGCAGGAATGTAATCGAGGATGCTGGCCCTGCGGCTGCTCAACGTGGTGGCCCCCGCCTACTTCTTGTGCATCTCCCTGGTGACCTTCGTGCTGCAGCTCTTCCTCTTCCTGCCCAGCATGCGCCAGGACCCCGCGGCCGCCCGGCTCTTCTCGCCGGCCCTGCTCCACGGGGCGCTCTTCCTATTCCTCTCGGCCAACGCCCTGGGCAATTACGTCCTGGTCATCCAGAACTCCCCAGACGACCTGGGCGCCTGCCAGGGGGCCTCGACCAGGAAGGTTCCGTGCCCCTCACCTAGCACCCACTTCTGCCGAGTGTGCGCCAGAGTCACCCTGAGGCACGACCATCACTGTTTCTTCACCGGCAACTGCATCGGCAGCAGGAACATGCGTAACTTCGTCTTGTTCTGCCTCTACACCTCCCTGGCCTGCCTCTACTCCATGGTGGCCGGCGTGGCCTACATCTCCGCGGTCCTTTCCATCTCCTTCGCCCACCCCCTGGCCTTCCTCACGCTCCTGCCCACCTCCATCAGCCAGTTCTTCTCCGGTGAGTGGGCCTTGGCAGGCAGGTTGGGCTCTACCCAAAGACCTCCCACCCCAAAGGTTGCCGGGCCCCAAACTCCAGCCCCAAAAGTTGCCAGATTTAGCAAATAAAAATACAGACCCTTCCACTAAATTAAAATTTCAGATAAACAACTCATAATTTTTTAGTATAATTATGTCCCAGATACTGTATGAGATACACTGAGAAAATTTGCTATTGGCTATCTGAAATGCAAATTAAGCGGACATGCTGTATTTTATTGGCCACATCCCCCCTTACCCTCATCATCCTCATCCATCATGCTGTCCATATGCTCACAGAGTTGTGGCATCCAGGTAATATACCTGCTCTGTGCCAGGCAGGGCTGGGTGCTGGCCATTCCTCCATGTAGCCCCATGAGGTACAACCATGCTATGACCGTCCTCTGCCTGGACCCCAGTCCTGCTTACATGTCACCCAAGGACTCTGCTCTCCAGAGGTCTCACCAACCAATTGCAGTAATATTGAACTTGTTGCCAGCCCAGCCCAGCAGGAGACTAAGCCTCGTCCTCCTGCCTATTATGTTTGACCTCACCAGCCTGTTCTCCAGCCTGCCGATGGCTCAGAGCAGAGGGAACTTGGGTGGGAGAGGCAGGCATTTTTTTTTTTTAGACAGAGTCTCACTCCATCACCCAAGCTGGAGTGTAGTGGCGCAATCTCTGCTTACTGCAACCTCTACCTCCCAGGTTCAAGTGATTCTCTTGCCTCAACCTCCCGAGTAGCTGAGATTACAGGTGCGTGCCACCGGCTAATTTTTGTATTTTTAATAGAGACGGTGTTTTACCATGTTGACCAGGCGGGTCTTGAACTCTTGACCTCAAGTGACCCACCCACCTCGGCCTCCCAAAGTGCTGGGATTACAGGTGTGAGCCACTACACCTGGCTGAGGACTACACTTTAACTAGTATGCACAAGGACCACTCCCTGATATCTGGCCCTAGAAGTACTCAGCTCCTGGTGGCAGTTCTTACCACTTTATTCAGCCTTGAGACTGGCTCTTACTGCATTTCCTTCCACTTCCTCCCTATCCTGGCCTTTGACTCTGAATGGCTTAGCTGGGCCTGCATGTATAGCATTGTTATCTCCATTTCTCAGATGATGAAACCGAGACTCAGATGGGATTAAGTGGCTTGCCCAGTATCTTCCTACTACTGAGTGGCAGTCTCTGGTCTGCCTCTCGGGTCCTTAATCCACAGCTCTTCTGTAGTGGCTCAGGGAATAGAGCATGCTTCCTCACCTGTTGGCCTTCTAGGAGCAAAGAAAGACAGGGGGCAGCTACTTCCACTGAAAGCCCAAGATTGTTTTGAGGTGCCTGGGCTGAACATTCATAAAATTTCTGCTCTACTCTGGGGGAAGCCATCATTTCAGTCTTTGTGGTGACTACAGCCCAGTTCTTCCCAGGCACAGAACTATCATGCCATTTGGCAGTGGGAACACAGAGATACAGAGGGGACCCAGCTACGGGGGCTGCCTTCAGGGCTGGTGGCTGAGCTGGGTCCAGAACTCACAGCTTTCAGGCCTTCTGGATCCCAGCACTGGCACAGGAGGCTGCTGGGACCAAAATAACCAGGACGGGGGAGGGTGGGTGGGTGGGCTAGGGGGTGGAGTGTGAGCACAGGCAGGTGGAGGGATGAGGAGAGCCAACAAGCCTGCTTATACTTTCTTTTCCAAGTAGTTTCGCCAACCGTAAAAATGGATGGTTCCAGAAGGAAGACCTTGAAATGGTTTGATTTGAGATAAATCTGGGCTTGAGGCCTGTCCATATGTGCTAGGTTTGATCTGATGGGAGAACAGAGCCAGTGAGTGCCCACCTTGGGGCCCAGACTCCTGTGCCAGCATAAGGATGAGTTCCAGTGTCTTTCACTTCCTCACCATATCCGCTGGGAATAGGCGACCAAGACTTCTTACCTCTAACTCTCCTATCTCATCCTTTGTGACCTTTCATCTTTCCTCTTGACAACCCTCCTTCTTTCTCTCCCATGACATACACCCCACCTGTTCAGCTTTCCCTTTCCTATTCCTCTTGTTCCCCAACCCTCAATCCGAACAGTTGGTAGCACCGTCTCTTATCTGCTCTGGAGGGCAGGTGGACAGGAAGGAGTAAGAAGCATGGGTTGTTTAATAGAAATTGAGTTCGAGATCAGCCTGGGCAAGATGGTGAGACTCCGTTTCTACAAAAATAAAAAATAAATAAATACACTAGTCAGGCATAGTGGCATGTGCCTGTTGTCCCATCTACTCAGGAGGATGAGGTGAGAGAATTGCTTGAGCCCAAGAGTGTGAGGCTGCAGTGAGCTATGATAATGCCACCGCACTCTATCCAGCCTGGGCTACAGAGCAAGACCCTGTCTCAAGAAAAAAAAAAAAAGACAAAGAAAGAAAGAAAGAAATTGAGCTGTCCCCAACTCTGGTGCGGATCTGAGTCAGATCTGTCACCAGAGCATGGATGGCCGTGAGTTTGGGCCTTGAGAGCTAAAAGTGGGAGGGGTCTTCTAGTGTGAAGGTGGCTGCCAACCACAGGCCCTCAGCTAATCCAAAGAGGGAGGCGGCTAGTTAGTTAGGTGTCAGAAGTTGCCCTTTCTTTTGGCTTTGTGGGACCAGTACAGGTTGCTGTGTCACCTCTCTGACTCTTATTCTTATCTGGGAAATGGAGATGCCACCATCTGACCTGTATCTTGGCATTTGGGTAAGTACACCAGCATGATGGGTGCTACCAGAAGGTGCAGTAGGAGGGAAAGGGAACTAAAGTTCATTGAGCACCTGTTATGTACCATCCACTATGCATGTCACATTTCACCCATTCCTCACGACAAGTCCATATTATCATATCCATTTTTAAGGCTCAGAAACCAAAGACTCAGCAAGGTTAAGTTGCACTAACACCACACAGCTGGTATGATTCCAAATCAAGATTTGGAGTTGGGGCTTCTAGCCTCCAAAGTTCATACTCTTTCCACCACACCGCTTCTTGGGGGCTGCCTCTCTGAAGCTGCTTCTGGAATGAGCCACTTTGGGAGGGAGGCAGCTACTTGTCCTTGGATGTACTGAAAAGTATGCTGGGTGATTATTTGTCAAAGGTGTTATAGATGCTTGTTGGGAGGAAGGGGCAGGGGAGATTGACTGATGTGTCCTTTTAGGCCCATTAGGAAAATTCTGTGATTTTTGAAAAGAAGCAGAACTATTATTACACAGTTAAGAGGAGCTGAAGCAGCCAGGCTAGGTAACTTCAAACACTTTTAGACAAAGCAGGTCCCCAGAATAGCCTTTTGTAGCTGCTGCATGGGGCCAAGAAAAGGCCGCAAGGTCTTTTTCTCATGCCTTGATTTAGTGCCAGGAAAAAACCCTGTGGGAAATGGCTTCCATCCGCCCAGGCTTATTCCTGGGGCAGTGTTGCAAGGCAGGCCCAAACTTGACAGCTCTGATGTTCTCACATCACAGCTCGAGGGCCATCTTTGCCTGTCAGCATTCCTCACACCAAAGGGCACCATGGACCTGGGATCTTCCATCCCGCACATGGCTGCCCAAGCTAATCTGTGCCAACAAGGAAGAAGTGGGTCAGGGGAATGGCACAGCCCAATGTGAGCCCTGTCCCACTACTGCCCCTGTGCCAGTGGAGGGGCTGCTCTAAATGGCAGCTGGGCCTATCTGTCTCCAGCTTTGTAAAAAACAAAACAAAACAAAAAACAAACAAACAAACAACAACAACAACAACAAAAATGGGTATCCAAGCTCCTAGGGATGAGGCCAAGAGGAGGCTGCTAATGAGAGAATCTGAATCAGATCCACATCCTCCCTGACTGCTGAGTCCACCACTGCTCATACTGGACAAGTGTTGAAAGACCAGTTCCCAGGACTTTGGAAATTGGAGGCTGGAGAGACTTGGGAAGAGGTGGGCTGGGGCAAGAGAAGGCTAGGGAAAGGGCAAAATATGGTTGAGATTTTCAGGGGCAGAATAGGTTGTAAGGTGGAGTCCTTAGAGGAGATACCCCCACCCCACCAGAGGAGGTGATAGGGTTGCCCTACAGGGAGCCAAGGGCTAAGGAGGACTTTCGAATTAACTCCAGGGTCCAGTGCCCTGGCTGCTGGGCAGATCAATGTAAGTGTCTTTACCACAGCTGCCAAAGTTGCAGCCCAGCCAGGACTCTAAGCCCTGAAAAGGAGAAGGAGAAAGCTTGATAGTTTCAGGAGTTAAACTTGAACTCATTTTGGATGTAGTCTCCTGCTCTGTAAAAATGACCCTCTGCTGGGAGCACCACAGTGAGTGTGAACCGGGATGCTGACCACTCTGTACATCATTTTCTTGAATCATGCAGCTGAATGAAATCGTTAGTATTATTATACCCATTGTACAGATGAGTGAACTTCAGCTGAGAGGTTGGGACACTTGTGTAAGTCCACACAGCTGGGAGACTCAAACCTAGCATGGACCAGCCATCCAAACTCTGAGGAAGAGTGTGGGAGCTGTTACTCAGTGATTATTTCAAACCAGTAAGAGGAAGTGCTTGGTTTAGAGGGATTCTGGGGAGATCCTGCCCCACGACACAGGGCCAATGACCTTGGGGGCCTCTTCTAGCAAGATCTGATTGACAGAACCAGCTCTGGTGGAATGCTGTGGTGGCCACACTGTCCTCTTGTTAACATTAATGACTGAATTATTCTCTACGTTGGTGCTCTGGGCTGCTCTTGAGACTAAGCTCATGACTTATTCTTCCCAGCTCTCCATCATGCTGTCATTTTCCTGAGTCCTCTCAACTAGCGCTCCCAGGACAGTATAGAGAAGGTGCTGCGGTCTAGACATCTGCCCAGACACCCGCTCCCTCTTTAGGGTCCTCAGCTCACCCCTCTCTCCTCCTGAGCAAAACCCCTTCACCCTGCTTCCAGCCCAAGAGGAGAAAACAGAGAGAGACAGGCATCTCCGACTCTACAGAAATGTTATCAGCGGCCAGATGCTGCCCCAGGAGCTGAGGGCTCTCCTTGCTAAGCTCATCAAACTTAGCTGTTTTCGCCAGGTCTCCAGTTTTCCCCTCTTGCCTCAGGTGCCATCTGCACCAAGAAAAAGTTAGGGCAGCTGGTTCTTCCTTCCTCTCCCTCACTGCAGCTGCAGTGCTGAGGTTGCTACAAAATGTAGTGTCAATCTCATTAATCTCCCTCCCTCCCAGTGGAAAGCCTGCCTAGATCACAGTTCTGCAGGTGGCCTGGGTGTAAAGCGGCTCTGGTGTTTCCCCTCCCGTTGCCCTGCAGGAGCTGTCCTGGGTTCTGAAATGTTCGTCATCCTCATGCTCTACCTCTGGTTCGCCATCGGCCTGGCCTGTGCTGGCTTCTGCTGCCACCAGCTGCTGTTGATCCTCCGCGGGCAGACCCGCCACCAGGTGCGGAAGGGGGTGGCAGTGAGGGCCCGGCCCTGGCGCAAGAACCTACAAGAGGTCTTCGGAAAGAGGTGGCTGCTGGGCCTGCTGGTCCCCATGTTCAATGTCGGAAGTGAGAGCTCCAAGCAGCAGGATAAGTAGCAGACATTCCCATCATTTATCTCTCTCTCTCTCTGTCTTGACTCCTCCTGAGCATAAAACCATGGCAGCCTTGTCTCCACCCATGACCCACTACAACCTTGTGCTGGTAAGGTCCTAGCATCTTCCCCCCACCTTCCACCCATGAGAACAGTGTGGGCTGGTGGATTATGACAAGGAGGAAAAACGTCCCCCCAGGCATTTCTAGGCTCCTCACGAGCCAGCCAGGTGGCTGCTAGCCGTTAGACTGCCTCTGCTTTCGTTCCTTCCCCTTGGGATCCCTGCTTTCCCCCTCTTCCTGGCTCATCCATTCTCCACCAGGTCTCATTCATCACTGCTGTCTGCTAGAGCCCTTCCTCTCAGCCTCCATGTTGGGAGAGGGGAGTGGATTCTTGCTGCTGGTATGAAACTCCCTGGGACCTAGAGGCTGGCAAATGTTTAAAATCACCATGTGTAAGAGGCAGCCAAGTCAGCTCTGCCAACAGCTAGGGGAGTTGGGAAAGAGTGGGTGTGTGTCCGCATCCCCTCTGTAGGAAAAAGAACTCAGTAGCTTGCTGCTCCCTCACCCAACCCCCTAGGTTCAAGACCCTTTCTCTGGGAGACAGAAGTCAATGGCCTGCTTTTTCCAAATGCTATTCCCTGTCCATCCTGCCCCATCTGGCCAGCCCAGCCCAGTCCAGGACCTGGTGGATGCTTCATCTCCCTGGAACTGTTCCAGCCTTTCTACTTGATCTCCAGCCCCCAGGTCTTTGCCAGATGATGGGAAGGCAAGGAAGAAGGGACAGGGAAAGAGAATTACTGATAAAGGAAGGGGGTATTCGACTGTATAACCATATGGAAGTGTGTGTGTGTGTGTGTGTGTGTGTGTGTGAGAGAGAGAGAGAGAGAGGGAGAGATGGATGGTGGTGAGAAGTGTTGTTAGAAACATATAGGAATAATGCCTAGGGGAAAGGGAGAAGTGAGAGGGACAATTGGGTTCATTTATGCCCTATACAAAGGGCATTCCAGCAGCTGAAACTTTTCAGTGTTTGAATGGCTGCCTGTGAAGGTAGTGAGTGCCCCATCACTAGAGGTATTCCAGCAGAGTCTAGGCAATCGTCTGCCGGCATGCTGTGGAAGAGATTTCTGCACAGGGTCATTCTAGGTGAGCTTACACATTCCTTCCAACCCCAAGGTTCTGGTGTCCTGGTTGTGACTGCTGGACCCAGAGGCAAGATCTGCGGAGATGCCTGTGAGATATTTGCTTTCCTGGAGGGGAATGTGGGCATGGGAGGGGTCTGAAGATCAGTACCCAACCCAGCCACTGAAGAGAGAGTCTATGCAGAGACAGGGCTACCTGGGTGGTTGCGGGGACTGACATTTGAGGACAGGGAGATGGAGCCGTGTCATTGTCAGTGGCAGGGCATGGGGGGCAGTGGTGAGTTAAGGCTGGGGAGTGGAGATGACCGGAATATAAGGGTGCAATTCCCAGACCATCCCTGCGCATCTGACTGACTCCGGTGGCGGCACTACTGTGTGTTTTCTGAAACCCAGAGGACCAGACCCCTGGGGCATATAAGGGAGGAGGGACAACACAAGTGCCCCCTCCTGACTGGGTCCCAAAGCCAGTATGACATCCATGTAGGCAGTAGTGCTGAATCCACGCCCTGCAATGCCCAACCGCCGACCACAGGGATCTGCTGATAGCTGCACAACACCCTGGGTTCTTGAGCAGAGACTGGGAGGACTTTACTGTGGTTCTGCCTTCATGCCCCCTAGACAGCTAATGTAGTACTCGACCTGCTCATACTTCTCCCTCCCATATTCATTCATTCATTTATCCATCCTACATATATTTATTGAATGCCAACTACGTTCCCAGCCTCTTCCAGGCACTGGCAATGCAGTGGTGAACAGGGTGACAAGATTCATGCCATCAGGGGCACCTTGTCACGGCCATCTGTGCACTGATTCACACCCCCTGAAAAATGGTCACTCTGCCATCTTGGTGGTTGGTGGGGCAGGTTATTTGGAAAGAAAGGATGTGATAGAGATGGCTGAAGGGGGGAAGCCTTGGCTGCCTCAATGGAGGAGTCACTGGGGCATCTTCACCCCCAATTCTGGCCATACTTAAGCAATGGGAGGGAGAGGGAGGAGGGGAAGGTCTGGGCAATTTTGGCCTTGACTCTTTCCTGACCCCAGAGCTCAAGCTTAGAAGCCAGCCCTGCCATTTTCAGCCTCCTGAAGTCTCAGCACGGTGAGGCCCGACATCCTGAGGAAGGGCAACAGGGAGACCTACGGGATGTTGACTGCTTGCAGACTGGTCAATGGGGGATGAGGGTGGGGAGGTTGCCAGATGTGAGACCTGAGTAGCATTTGTACACATGGCCCTGTATTGTCCTTGAAGAACATCAATAAAATATATGGTTTTAAATTGGATTTGATATGATTGTATGGGCACTGTTGGTAGCAGGGCTGTACTGAACTGATGCAGCCATACTAGCTGTTCAAATATTTAAAATAGGTATTGAAAATACTTCTATCTTAGTTGGTAAATAACCATGGCTCAGATTCTCTGAGTATCCTACCCCTTCTGCCCCTGCTCCTCCCTGGGAACCCTTGATTCTCTCCACAATCCAGCAACTAAAGTGATGAGGGCTCCCCAGCCCGCTGCAGCCCTCAGTCAGAGTCCACTGTGATTTGTCAGGGCTGGGCCATGTGGTGCAACATATGTATCACCTCTGGGTGGTAACAGGTCTCAGTGCTGGGGTGGATCCACAGGGAGCAGGGGTTGGAATATCTTACCTAGGAACTTCCCTTTTCCTCCTTCTCCTTCCACTCTTTCTCCTCCTCTCCCTCCCCTCCCCATATCAGAAGACAGGTGAGGAGGAGTGAAGAGAGTCCCTCTGCTCCTCCTCCACAGACAGAGCCAACTGTTCCTAGAGATCAGTCAGGCCCCCTGCCCTCTCAGGCCCTGCAACATCTGGAGGTCTCAGGCTTCCCAGCCCTGGGGACAGGTGGGAGGATGTTGAGCCCTTCAGGGAGTGGGCCCTGAGCAGATGAATGAGTAAGGCCTCTGATTCATCCCAAAGACACAAGGCCTGGACTGAGGAAGGATACAACTGCAAAGAGCTGTTGCAGAACCCTCAGCCTAGCCCAGTGTCATGATGGTGTATGTGCCCTGAACACGGGCCAACAGGCAACCAGCTTTGCTGCAGGAGCTGGGTGAATGGAGCTGTGGCGAATCCTCAGCACATTCTAGAGCACGGGCTGCCTACACTTCACAGGGCAGGCACCACACTTGCCTTGGTCACTGTCATATCCTTGATGTGTAGCAAGGGCTAGGCACACAGTAGGTGCTCAATGAACATTGCCTGAATGATGCAGATTTACCGCTCACATGCTTACTCCACATCTCTTATTCCTGTGCTGGACCCAGGACTGCACTTTGCACATTGTGGGGCTAGAAAACAGATGAGACCACTCTCTCTTCAAGAGTTTCCATTCCAGCAGAGGTTTCTGGAAGTGCTCAGAGGAGGGAGAGAGCACATTCTGCTGTTAGGTCTGGGGCCTTTCCATGATACAGGGCCTGGAAAGATGGATGAGATTTCAGCAGGCCAAGAGGGACAGGGAGGGCTTTCCAGGGACAGAGAACAGGCCTGGGGCCTTGGGGTATAGGGGATATCATGAAGAGACAGAGGAGGTTAAGGCTGAGAGTAGGGACCCAAGCAGAGAGGGCTCTGAATGCCAAGCTAAGGGACCTGGAGGGCATTTGACAGGCAATAGGGAACCATTGAAGGTTTTGAGCAAGGGAGCAGCATGATCAGAGGTAGATTTCAGAAAGTGCAGCCTTGGAGGATAGACTGGAAGTGGGAGGAACTGGAGGTTGAGGGACCCGGTAAGAGGCATGTGCTGTATCTCAGTGAGATGTAGCCAGGGTCCAGGTGGGGATAGTGGTTGTGGGATGGTAAAGAGGGGAAAGATATCAGAGGCACTTCAAAGACATGGGGCATGAGTAGAGGGATGCTGGGGAGGGGGCCCAAGATGGCCCTGAAGGTGAAAACATGGTGATTGTTAGGAGGACTGGGGTGGAAAAGATTGTGACACTAGAATTCAGGGCCATCCCATGCACTAGCCTCTGTCATTGGCCCATCAGATGGAAGTTGATGGTGTCATTTTTAACTAACCACTCTGTCCATGGAGGAAGAGGTTCAGGGACATCTGCCGGTCATTCTTGACAGCACAGCTCTCTGACTCCCAAAGCAGGGGTAGAATCATCTGTTAGTGCCAATAGAGATCATGGGTCCTCAGGCCCATGTGTTGGAGTGAGATGCCTGGCTCCCCAGTGCCTCAACCTTTCCATCCAGAAAGTGGGTACTCTTCTTTGGCCCATGCCCTAGTGTCAGATTAGGCAAGGCAGGAACTGCCTCACTCTAAGCTCCAGGAACCCAAGGAGTTTTGGAAAGAGGACAAACTTGAAGAGACTTCAACCCAGGTCCCCCTCCACTGTAACCAATCAGTCCTTAGGTCCCAGGGGCAATCTGTTAGCCAGTCTTTCTCCTTAGGAGTATGACTGTCCTTGTTACTGTCCATGCATTTGGTCCCCCAAATACTGTGGCTCCTGTCTGTACCCAGTGTCCTCCAACTGGCCTCATTGCGCATGAGATTCCCCCTCATCTCTCTCCTGCCCTGCCTCTCAGCATGCCCTCACGGATGCTTGGGAAGCAGCCCCTCCTGCCAGGAAGAAAAGGAAGGATGGGCAGAGAGAGAGGCATTTCTCCTAACTTATCTGAGACACGTTAGAGATGAGGCAGAACCTTGGGCCTGCTCACTAGCCACAGTGAGCCTGCTGGTGGGGGCGGGAGGTGTCTGGAAGTAGCTTGGTTGCTCCAGATGTTGGCCTCTGCTTCTGCCCTCATTTCCCTCTCTATTCACAGTACTGGCCCAGCTCCTTCTTTCACTCTTCAAAAACATTCATTGATGCTGACTCTACGCCAGGCATGACGCCAAGAACCAGGAATGCAAAGATGAAAGAGACCTAGTACCTGATCTCAGGGAGCTCACTAGGAAGAGAACAAATTGCAGATGGTTGTGATTCAGCGGCATGAAAGTGCCGATGGGAGCACAGGATGCTACAGAAGCCTGGAGGAGAGCACTTACTTGACCAGGGCGGACCTGAAGGCTTCCCAGAAGAGGCAACATCTGGGTCATGCAGGATGAATAGGAGCAGGCCAGGCAGAAAAGCAGGGCTGTGGGTGGGAGTAGAGGTAGGAGGGACTGTGCAGAGGCAGAGATACCAGGTGATTTCTGGGAATTGCAAGTCTGCATTTAGGAATGGTGAGATGTGAGCACACACCTGCAGCCACAACTGGACGTCTGTCCTCAGGCCACGCTCCCCACGGACCCTGCCTCCTTCCTCTGATCACTTCTTAGAAACCCTAACTCATACCAGCTCATGGTGTCCCATTTGGGTGAGTCAAGCATGAACTGATGTCTAGTTTTTCTAAAGGATCCACAGGTCTCCAGGTTGGTGATCAAAGGTAGAGGGTTAAGTTCATTTTCCAGAGAATCAGCCCAAAGATGTTAGAGCTCACCTGGGAACATCAGACATTCCTAGTCCTCTCTGGGCCCAAAGAGAGGTCTCTGGGAGTTCCCCATCACTCTTGCCTTCCTGCACAGCCTCAGCAAATGGTGTTGGAAGGACACCATTCCTATCAAGATGGCTTCCAGGAGCTACAAAAGAACTGGAAAGGCTGGGACCCTGAGATGTAAGCAGTGACCTTTTGTTATGTGCAGTGCCCCATCTGGACTGGCAAGGCAGCTCCCTGCATGGCCCTCTGCACCCTGGTGGGCACCTCCCCACACCCTGTAACCTGGTGGCCCCAGCATGCCTCCTCCTTTAGCCTACGTCCCTCCCAGCCCCTCCTCCACATCGCACTTCTCCATAGGACCTTTCCTTAACTGGTCCAGTCCCCTGGAAACCCTCTATCCCAAACTCCCACTACCGTTAGCAGCTCTCTGTCACTCTTACTCTCTCCTGTAGGTTTTGTCTCCTAACTACTGCATGCCCTTGGAAAGCAGAAATGGAGATGGTGGAATCCTTTAGTTTCCCCCGTCCCTAGCATGGTGTAGGACACTAACATTGTTGATACAGTCTTTCTGTGTAGTGATACTACATTGTCACCAGTATACTACTGGTGTATACATTATACTGGTGACAATGACCAGGATTTGCTGAGCCTTCCCAACATGCCAGGCCCTTGTCCTACACACACTTCATCTGTATTAACTCACATATTCCTCATAGCAATACTACAAGGTATGTTTTATTATAACCCCGACGTTCCAGGTAAAAAATAATAATAAAGGCACAGAGAGGTTGCGTAATTTGCCCAAAGCCTGAAACTAGTAAGTGCCAGAGTCAGGATTCAAACCCAGTCTGCCTGCTCCAAGGTCTATTTAACCTGGCACTAGACTGTCTTTCCGTTGTGGAATATTATAGTCACACAATACATTCCCTGCTGAAAATTAACAAGGAGCCAAGTTTCTACTCATTCATTCATTGATCTGTTCATTCAACATGTTTATTGAGTACCTACTATGTAATAGGCACGGATGGATACAGAGAAAGGAAGTAGGCTCAGCTTGTGCCTTGCACAGCTAACAGCCAACTGCTTATGGTGACTTTGCAGGGGAAATGGGGGTCCCTAGGTCTTTCCCAGCTGAGGATTATGGGCAGATTGCCCTAGATGAAGCCACTTCTTCCAGGGCAGGGTATCGGTGGAGGTCTGAGGACAGTTGGGGCTGAGGCTCAAGGATGTTACCTAGTCAGGGAAAAAGTTCAAGCTCTTTCTAGATGGCAGTCCTCCCAGGCAGTGTTGGGGTACCTGCAGGAGGGGACCAGACCCTGGCAGAGAGCCAAGCACAGCCCAGCACACCTCTGTCCCCATCCCTGCAGACCAGGACATGGAGCCACCAAAGACTCTAAAATGAAAGTGGGGCCTGAGGAGAAAAACACCTACAAAGCCTGACTATGACAGAGGAAAAAGATAAGCCTCCAGAGAGGGCAACAGACAGCTACCGAAGTGGGGTTGCATGTGAGGGTCCCCCCATGGAAGGCCAAAAAGCTGTGTAGGAGGGGACCAGGGGGCTGACCTGGAACTCAGAGAGAAGCGGAGCTGGTGCTGAGGCTTTCCAAAGAGGCAGTCCTGTATGTGGGCTTCTCCCCAGCCTTCCTGTCCCCAAATACCCCCTTTCTGGCTGGCTTGTGATGCCTGAAATTTCCCCACTATGAATATGTCCTTCAAAATAGCATTTTGGCTCCCCAGGCCCTTTGTCTCAAATTCTGGGAGGTATTTACCACTAAATACCTTGAAATGAGGCTGCCTTCTTTCTCTGATTGACAGCTGCGAGGTGGCCAGAAGCTGTCTGAAGGGGCG